GGGCACATGTTAGCATTCCAGAATCCACCTCCTGCTCTATCTATAACGGACTATAGTGAGACCTCAGTTACTACCATTCTGTAACAATCAATCTTCACTTCTGTTTTTTCCTTCATTATCTGACCCATAGCAGGTCTGGTCATGGTCCACTACTGAAATATAGGTATATTCATGACTCACAAGAAAGAGGTTCTCTATGCTATTTCTGAAAAGACATTCTATTATCCTTTATACAGCAACAACAAGCTGATGAGGGGTTACTGACATACTAAAATGTAACTATATCCAAATTACAAATATATTTTTGATAGAATTGAGGCATACTTTGTTTTCATTTACCATGTCATATTATATTTCTTACTATATTTTTTTCTCCAAAGACTCAGGGTATTTTGTTTGATCGACATGAATGAATTTGATTGTGCAACTACTATGTAGCAGGCACTAGAAAACGTGGGGCTTCAAAAATGAGTTCTTTATGGAATTTACTTAAAATTTTCAATAATAAAATTCTTTTACTAATTTAAGATTTAGATAAGACTTTGGCCACACTTTCTTCCTCTCATACATCACTGCCTTTTTGGTCGCGTTACGTCAAAGTAAGAAAATAAGTGCCCAGATTTACCAAAGTGGATTAGATACCACCAAGTAACACAACCCAAACTTCCTAAGAAAAACTAGCTAACATGAACCTAAGAGAATCTTGCACAGAGCCAGCAGTTATTATTACAAAGAACGCATCCAAAAAGGATTGGAAAATCAGAGACAGATAATAACAAGTCTGCGAAACCAAAGGCAAATATTGTTAGAGGGAAGATTTGCATTGCTGATTTAACCAAACACACACTTGTAGCTCTCAGGATTCATGGAACCTAATTAACCTGCTTATCAAGAAGGCTGCTTTCCCAATGCAATTTAAAGCACTTCATCAGGAGTTACTTTTTTTTTTTTTAAATTAAGCAGAATTCAAGTCAGGCATATTCCTAAATTGCTAGCAGTTGCCAAGTAAAAACACAGTTAGGAGCACAGCAGGATTTTAACTACTGAACTGCCTCAAAGTTTCTGATTTCCATCGTCAGTGAGGTTCAGCCCAACACCACAGGTAAGGGCTGCCTTTAGAGAGGAAATCTACACATGGCCTACGGCAGTGCTGCCAGACTTTTCCACCAAAGCTCTCCTAAGTAAGGGGTGGGAGTCCTAGCCCTGACGATCTACAAACATTCTGAGGTCTCAAGGTTTATCTTTAAAATCTCCACAATTCATGTAATTTCATCGCGATGTAATGTATTTCCAAGTTTATTTTAATATAACCAACACTTACTGAATACTACTTGCTAAGAATTTTACATAAATTACCTTACTTCTCACAATAATAGGCCCTATTTCTATCACTATTTTGTAGTGAGGAAACTTCACCACAGAAAAATAAAGCAATATATATATATATTTTTGTGGTGCACGGGCCTCTCACTGCTGTGGCCTCTCCTGTTGCGGAGCACAGGCTCCGGACGTGCAGGCTCAGCAGCCATGGCTCACGGGCCCAGCCGCTCCGCGGCATGTGGGATCTTCCCGGACTGGGGCACGAACCCCCGTTCCCTGCATCGGCAGGCAGACTCTCAACCACTGCGCCACCAGGGAAGCCCTAAGCAATGTTCTTAAGCTTATGAAATGGAGATGGGATTTAAGCCACACAAGTTTCTATTTGTTCTTCTCCAGTATATTACACTACACTGTTTTAAATCACTTTTCAGTTAAATGAGTTAACTCTTCCTCCTCTAGTTGCTTAAGTCAGAGGTCAGCAAACCTTTTCTGTAAAGGGCCACGTAATACATTTGATAGGCTTTGTGGACCATATATGGTCTTTGCTGGCTACTACAACTCAGTTCTGCCACTGTAGTGTCACAGCAGCCATACACGATCCTTAAACGAATGATGTGGCTGTATTCCAGTAAAATTATATTTACTGAAATGGGTGGCAGGCAGGTTTGGGCGATAGCTTGTAAACTCTTAAAATAAGTAAAATTCCTGTTCCAGACTGAATGCATATTTATCTTGTGGTTTTGTATAATTGCCTGTACTAGTCTGAGAACAGGTCATAAGAAAACTGATTTGAAAAAGAAAAAAGAAGCCAATGCCAAAAGGTAAGGGAAAGAGATTTGACGTTTCTATCTAACCTTTACCAACTAATTGAATGATGATGACAGGGAACCTATATGTTCCTCCCCCTATTCCCTCAGCCATGGGTCCTCTGCTTCCACTGGGCCCAGGGACATTTCCTCAGCCTCTGGCATCCTGGACAGGCCACAGTGGGTCTTCCTATCACCTGTGACTCTCATCATGTAGGTGGTTGCCCCTTATCTTTCCACCTAATTGGAATCTACCCCTGGAGTCCAGTGAATTTACTAATTATCCCTTCTACATCTTTTATGTCATATCTCTATGTCTTTGCTCATGTTAGGAAAATTGTCCCTCTCTCTCTGTTCACTGATTCCAATAACTAATTCAAAAAATACTTTACTACATTCCTAGTTCAAAATTCCTAGTCCTTTGATTCACCTCTAAAATATCATTTTTTGAACACGCCAACTATACTTGTGTATTCTGTTTCAACTGTCGACTCACGTATTTCAAACACTACAACACTAATACCATAAAAGAATTAAGAGAATCCCTTAAGAGCTCATTGTCACTGGATAAAACTGGTAACTGGCAAAAGTAGTTAAGATTGATTTTAGAGATTTAGCTTTGTTTTTATGCTCTGAATGATGAGAGTAAAGGGTAACCTTCTCTTTCACACAGAACTGGAAGGTAAAGGTTATTCCATCGTTCGACACTAATGACAGTTTGGGGTATCAAAATAAAGAAGCTGAGGTAGAAAAATGTCATGGGGAGACTGAAATGTCTAAGCGTAATAAAATAATGTACAGAAAATAAAGTGCAATAGGAATGACATTACAAATTCCTGTTAAGAAAGAATGTCATTGATTGGTAAGTGTTTCTTAAATAATTTCGTGAAAAAGAATAAGATATTCAAATTATTCATGTTTCTTTCATGTTACCAAGATCTTCACTGAGACCACGCAGGAGGAAAAAACTGTCAGGATATGTATGCTCAGGTCAGTCTGTTGCTTTCTCATTAGTTTTTCATTGCTGTTCTTTCACTCCTCTTTGGGTTTCGTCACCGTGCTCACGCTGTCTCACTCTTCTCTCTGTTGGTGGCAATAGTGTCCTCTCTATGATTTCCTCACTTCTATTTTAAAGAAAGTTGAACAGGTCCCCTTATTCAATTTTCTTTTGCCTTTACCTTGTTGCTGTTTGTGCCTTATTTCTCTCAGGTTGTCTAATGATAATATACAGTTGACCCTTGAACGACACTAGCTTGAACCGCGAGGGTCCTCTCATACTCAGATTTCAATAGTAAATACTATAGCTCTACACCATCCAGGGTTGGTTGAATCCCCAGATGCAGAACCAGGGATATGGAGGAACCAGGGATAAGGAGGGTCAACTATAAGTTACATGTGGGTCTGCACCTCTAACCCCAGCGGTGTTCAGGGTCAACTGCATTCCAATTTTTAAAAATTGATTTACCAAAAGAGATTCTGAAAATGCTGTTTGAAGAATCTGTCTCTCTTAGGAGAGAATGTTATAGACAATATGTAACTTCATTTTTAAGCAAGTATTCACAGTGGTTTCATTGCTCAAAGTGAGAGTTCAGAGTAAAGAAATACAGTCACCAATGAGGAGTTAATGTCTTTTAAAGAAAATAAATCACGTAAAGGATACTCAATAGTTACATCAGTGTGGCAAATGATGCATATTCCACTCACTTCCAGGAAATGCACAATGCACACTCACGCATTAGAGCCTCTGAGAAGGCCTGCGTAAAGAAACGTGTTATATTCGAACAGTACCCCCAAACTTGTCTGACCCCTGAAACTTCTACCCCCAATACCTGTTACCATCTCTTAGAACTATTTCACGGAAAGCTGCCAGAGAAACTTTTGGAGAACTAATTAATAGTTTATTAAATTTAAGAGGCAATTTAAAATTTAGCTACATCCTGATGTATTTCTTCATATTCCTTCTGGAAATTCCTAATACAGTTGAATATATCCATCTAATACTACAGTTGAATACAATTCCTAATTCCTGATTGAATATATCAGCATTGATAGATGCTACAGTGAAAAATAAGAAGTTATTGGACAGTAATGAAAGCAAGCTTGGAACTATTTATCAATGACCACAATAAATTCACAATGATCAGGGTGGAGCCTAGCCCTGCTTTTGCTGTTAACTAACAGTGTGACTCTGGAATAGAGATTTAAAGTCTGGGAGCTTTGATTCACATACATGTGAAGTGGAGCTAGACCTGCTCCATCTACCCAACTGGTACATTCGGAGAACGAAGGGCTCAAGATCAAGACCGAGAAGAATTTCTCATAAACAATGAAGTTTTATAAAAGCAGAGAAAGTTATAAAAGTATAAAAAAGGAATATATCTCAAATAGAGACTCAGTTTCCTTACAGATCCACACTAAATGCCATTATGATTTCTGCCTTTCTTGAACTCTGAGTAGAATACTGTCTTATAATCGCTAAAGATCTCATTTTACATAGTCAGAAAACGAATTTTTGTTTAGCCACTAATCATAATAATGTATCACCAATTTTTTTTTCAGAAAACGAGGCAAAAATAAGAAATTCAGAAAACTTTGTTTAAAAGAAGAAAAGATTTATTGCAAAGTGGTTTGTGAGTAGTGCGTACCACCTTACTCAAGGCTCTATTACGAACCCATCTGTGGCAACTCTTCATTCCCAGTGAATAAAGACAGTAGGGGTCTATATTCTCTGAGTCCTTCATTAAACTATTGATCCCTTTAGCATTATCCATAATGTTCCAGCAGCTCAGCACGTCAACTGGTGAAGTGCTGGTCTCTCACTCCTTTCAATAACTTGTGCACTTTATGGAGAGGAAGTCATAATGATTTATTTACCTGACACTTTCCAGTCCGGATGTCGTACAGGGCCACTGAACCATGGCGAGCTCCAACTGCTATTCTGTGATTCCGCTCATAATAGCTGACCATGTAGAACCTGGATTGAACATTTGAACAACAAAAAAACAGAAAAAACAGGTGAGATGACCTGCACATCAAAGTGGATAGCAACACACTTCAAAGATTAAAGCCAGCTCTGATATATATTTTTAAATAACTATATATATATCTGTAATTAATATATTGAGATTTTTCAAAAATGTTTCATTGTAATAATTCTTAAAATCAACTGAAAGAAAAATGATGCAGAATACCGCTTAGACCTGTTAATGATTATTTTCAATAGAAAACAACTTCTTAACTACAAACACCATTGAATTTTGAAACAAGAGATAAGGGTCACATACAAAAAAGATGAAACATGAAAACTCAGTTTTGCTACAGTGACTATTCTGCAAATATTTCTATTTGAACAGAAATAGAAAAGATGAAAAGTCTTATATATTCAATCTAATTATGCTCTCAGGGTTTATTACAGTATTAAGGAATGCAAAATACTTTCCAGCAGGACAGTCATAAAAAAGCTGCATAAATATGAAGCTTAAACGTTCATATCAATAATTTAGAATGAAATTAGAAAGTTATCCACCAAAAAGTTATCTGGCAAATTCTCTAGAATTTCCACATTTATCAGTTTATTGAAATGATAACTGTGACTATTGGTAGTATAAATAAGCATATTTGGTGATATGGCATTGCATGAAAATAGGATTTAGGGAGGAGGCCTTGAAAGTTGTAAAAGGTTGATTTATTTTTATTTGTTTACTTTTCTAGATTAATTTTCATGATGATCAAGTATTCGAATTCCTGATCTATGCTTTGTTATGATTTAATGGCCATATGGCTAGAGCCTGGGAAGGTAAGAATAAAAATTATTAGAAGTGTAAATAAGGTATGATTTTATGTCCCCAAAGAGTTTTGAATATGCCTTCCCATTATCTAGTCCTATTGTCTCAGTGAGCATTACCCAGATAAATAAGTGGCCTACCCTCAATATTTCTGAGGATATTACATCAATTCTACTACACATTCCTTGCCATTTTTCTCTTTGATTCCCTGCTACTAATCTAAATTTTCTGCTATTATTTTTTTAAAAGACAGGATGGGGAGGCAAAACAAATGACAGAAAAGAAATATCATTTCTCTAATGCTTTCTTGAGATTGATATAGAGTAAAAAAACTAGTAGGGCATAGGACTCCATTTCTGAAATTCTGGTAAGAGAGGCAGAGAGAGAGAGGGAGAGAGGGAGAGAAGATACTTGTGAGCATTTTGAAACCAGGGACAGTCTGACAAAGCCATTTTGGCATTAACAGACATTATGACATTCATACATATTTTATAAATCTGGAAAACAAGCTATTAAGTGTTTAAACTTTTTGTTTGATACTTATTACCAAGGAATGGATTCAATAATACTTCTGTCCTATCCCTAAGCCTCACTCAATGAGGCAACTTTTTTCCTCTTCAGTGGAAGATGAATGCTTCGTTTCTAGTTACATGAAAGATACTACTTTAGGATGTCCTGCTGGTTTTTGCTGTGCTCAGGTATGGGATGTTCTCTTTGCATACAGGTTTGAGGGAAGGAAGGGGAGTGGAGGCTCCTGACACAATGAAGCTTCCCCACTATTCAGTGGTTAGTAAAAAGTTTCTTAAAAGCTTTTCTTGTCTAAAGCATCCTATTACTGCCCTCGGTAGAAAAGGCAGGAATCAGCAATCAGAATTCAAAATGTAATGTTTCCATAGTCAAAAATAAGAGGTTTAGAAGAGTTTAAAAATGTTTACTATTACGTTATTCAATAATGACAGTGGTCTAAGTATTGGGCATCAGTATATATCTATATGTATGCCTATGTCTACATCTACATCTAAACACACATAAGCCCACACAAGTTAAATCCTATCAGAGTAACATGGAATATAATAGCTAACAAATGTTTTAACAAATATCTATTCTGTGCAGGTTAATAGCCACAGGAAAATAACATTTCCAGAGGTATTTTGTTGTCCACTGTTAAACTCTGCACAGACATAACAGTTGTATTGCCCAAATCCTACTGCGAAACATGAATATAATTACCCCTCAAAATAATCCTCTTCAAACCAAACCGTTGGTAAAATACATTTATGTTGACCAAAATTTTACTTAGTTAAACTCAAATCTAAAAGTTTTGTTACACTGACCATTTTCTATGCTCTGGATATCAACCTTCTATATCATCCTTCTATATTATCTACAGACACCATTATTTATGGGAGAAAAAAAAGATCAAATCTATTCTTGGTATCAAATCTTTAGTCTGCCTGAAAGGACCATATATTACAGGTCTGCATTTTTCATTCTTTGCAGTTTACTACTAGGCTAATACTCCTAAAATATCTTAAAGAATTCTGGACAGTGAAGGTCTCATGGCATGTTTTTAATCTTTGGATTTCTGGTGAAACTTTTTATTTCTTGAACAGTCTCTCCTTTAACAGAGGAAACCCAAGGTATGTATGCAGTCACTTCCCAAGTATCCACTCTGGGGACTGGCTGCAGTGAGCCTAACTCTTCTGAGGGTTTCTAGAGCCCGCCATGCACCCAGACTACTCTTCTCCTGAAAGCAGTTCTCCACTGGGGGGCTGTCAAGATTTAAGGATGGTGCGATACACGTTACTTGACCCTACCCCAAAAAGGATCAATGGACTGCACAGCAGGATCCATCCTAGTTCTTAAGACTATTCTAGTCTTGACCTGACCCCACATGGGAGTCTTGAATTCCTCCAAAATTTGGGGGGAGGGCTCTCAGAGTAAGGGTTCACCTGTGCTGAGCCTTCTGGAAATGGTATCTCAGTCTCTAGTTCACTGCATTGATAACATGCACTTGGGCAGTATTTCTTGGGCAACAACCTGCCACGAATCTTTCTGTTATACTCAAGTTACAACAATGGTTTTCCTCTATTCGGCCCACAACAAGGAAACTGTTAAGTCAGAGGAAACATTACCACTCAAGTATATGAAAGACGAATAAAGTGGAATTGAATAACGTTGCAAAATGTATTTCTTGCTGGGGCTGCGGTGGTCATCATCCAAAAATTTTGAAGTCACTGATCTCCTTGCTTTCATTACTGTCCGCGTGCAGCCAGAGTGATCCTTTTCAGCCATAAATCAGATCACCTCTCCTGTGTGTTCACAACCGTCCTTCAAGATCTGGCCCTACGTGATCTGGCCCTAACACCTCTCGGACTTCTTATTCCCTTTGCTTGCTCTGCTCTGGTCATACTGATCTCCTTATGCTTTCGTGAATATTCCAAGAGTGTACCCACTTTGGAGTTTAACGTTTGCTATTCCCTCTGCTTGAAAATCTCATCTGCCCGGTATCTCCAGGGTTTGTGCCCTTGCTTCATTTAGGTCTCTGTCCCAAGGTTATCTTGATAAGGAAGGCCTTTATGGGCCATCCTATTTAATACAGCAGACTTTCCTCCACTACTCTTGAGTCCAATATCCTATTTTTTCTTTATTGTATTTATCATCTTTTTGACATTAAACAATAATTTTTTGTTTATTGCTTGTTTCCCTCCATCAGAGACTTTTTTGTGTATGAATACATAAACAGGGTCCAATCAAGCAGCATACAGCAGTACGAAGTTTAATGCTGTAGGAAGTCCAAATCACTATGCTTATCCTTCAGTGACTACTTTATAAACTAGGCTAAACATATCAAGTTTTAAGACCACTGAATGTTTCATAAGGTCTAAAATAATAATTGGTATAAACAACAAAGGAAATCAAAACTGTCTATAAAAGTTAGGCAGAAATCAACAAACAGAAAGCAGCCGCATGACCCTTCTAAAAAATGTATTTTCAATTGAGACAAACAATTGCAGATTTACAAAAAGATATCTGTAAAGGCCCTTGAAGTCTGAGTACATTGCATGAGACTGACGGTTGCATAATGGAAATTATTTAATTGTGTCTTGGGGAACTAGAAAAGATTATTTGGTCTGAAACTCAAGAAGGCAAATATAGTCTAAATAATGATACATACAATAAAGTAGGTATTTTTGGTACAAATGTGCTGGGAATAAAATTATTCTAAGAATTTGCCAGGTATTTATATAGGCACACATAAATTTCACTGAACATGGTATCACACAAAACATAATTAAAAGAAATAATCAATTATCGATCATTACTAAATATTAGAATAGGTTATTATATTTCTCCAAAGCATATTTGTGACATCAACTCCTCAGAAGTAACACACAACAGGGTGCCACCCACCCATAACTGGGCGGTTTATGATGTGAAACACAAATGTGTATTGGGTCCACTCCAGGGCGGGATTCTGGAGCAAATCATGTTGCTTAAGAGTTTGCCAAGCACCCAATACCTAAATCTAAACAACTTTGGTATTCTCTACTTATAGTCTCCCTTGAATTAATGACCTTTTTTATTTTTATTAAAAATGGCCCTCAAATAAGAGAAATTTGTGTGAAACTTAAACGTCAATTTGGAAAAATACAGGAAGAGGAAACATGCAACTCTCAACAGAGATATGATTTAGGAGAAAGACAGAAACCTGTAAAATCACTTTCTCAACTATGACTTTGATAATCTGCAATGATTTCAGGATGTTAATACTGTATATAGTGTCCTTGAGCATTAAAATACAACAAGGAACACTCTTCAACTAATCCAAAATTCATCTCCAGCTAAAATGAGCCCATCTAAAATCTAACGATGTAAGGAATAGAATGTATGAGCTATAAGTACGATTTATAACTAGTTACAAGTCACTACTACTGAGGACAAACTGTGTAACAGGCACTGTCCTGAGAACTGGTATATGTATTTCCAGGAGTAGCTGTGGTATTAGGAGCAATTCTTATCTAGTTGCTTTTACAAATTCTTGATGTTGATTTAAAATGGTTCAAAAACTTTGGACTCTTTGTTTAAAAGGTATTAAGGCAATATGCACTTGTAAAAAACCACCACTAATATGTATTAGTGTATATGTATATATTAGTGTATATGTATACAAATACATATATGTATA